CGGCGGAGGGGCAGCGGGACTCGGCAGACAGGGGGCGCTGCGCTCCGTGGAAGAGCAGGCGGCGGGAACAGCCCAGAGCGGCTCCCGGGCATGATGAGGACTCGGGAGAAGTAGGGGCGGTGGTGGGAGCCCCGCAAGTAGCAGAGGCTGGATGGGTAGGTGGTGGACGGACAGACAGATGGACGGGGTGGACAGATGGGCTACGTTACTCCCCACACGCCAGGCACATGCCACAACCTCTCTCGCGAAGAAAACGTGGGCAGGACGCCGGACCCCCGAGGGTCACAGGCCTAAGAGCACCAGGGCCCCGCACACCTCGCCCGACCCCAGGACCGGCTCCGGTGGACAGGCCTCTGCGGCCAGCGGTGGCCCTGGGGGCGGGGCCCCAGGACAGTCAGTGCTTTCCAGGGGCTGCCGGGTGCCCTCTGGGGGCCTGGGCCCACAGCACACCCAGCCCGGCCGAGCGCCGCTCCCGCAACGCAGAGCTCAGGCACCTGCTTCTGGTCCCTGGGGACCCCGGGCAGCTTCTGCGCCAGGCGCTGGGCAGCCCGAGCCCACTGGGCAGTGAGCCGCTCCGTCCGCCTCTTCATGAAGATCAGCGACTCCTTCCCGCCGCCCATCAGCTCCAGGAGGTGGGTCAGGTTGCTCCGGAAAACTGCCTGCAAGGAGACTCCAGTCCCCACCCGGCCGCGGGCCGGCCCGCTCCTGCTTCCGCTCTTACACTGAGGCCCGCCGGCTCCCACCGTCAGGGCCCTCACCCGACTCGCCCCGGCCGCACTGTCTGGCCACGGCCCGGCCCCAGCAGGGAGTGGGGCAGGTCCCGGGAGCCCGGCAGCCAGGGGACAGCAGGGTAGTGGCCACAGCGCCGTGGGCAGCAGGGGGCCGGGGCTGCCCTGCAGAGGGGCCGGGGTGACCGCCTCGACTCCCTAGACCCCAGGGAGGTCCCCCAGGAAGCAGGAGCACTGAGGGGACTCGAGGCGGCGCGTCCAGTGTGCAGAAAGCCCTCGGTCGGCAGCAGCTATTATTCCTCCTCTTCTAAGCCACCCTGGGGACGTGCCCAGGGCCCCAGCCTGCCCTCCCATCGCCCCAGGTTGGCGGCACCCCACAAAGTGGGCCAGGAAGTCAGGCTGGTTTCCTGTCCCGCCGGGCAGGCCGCCACCCCCAGGCAGGGCTGAGGGGAGAAGGGACACCCCCTCCCCGTCCCAGGGATGTCCAGATGGGGCGGCCAGCTGAGCCCTCGCTGACCCGCCTACTTGCTGGGCCTACCTGGACTTTGGGGAGGAGCTTGGGGGGCCGGGGGGCCGTCTGGTTCCTCCAGGGCAGCGGGGGGCAGAACCACTCCACCTCGCTGAGGTAGATGAGGAAGGAACACTCGGTGCCGTCCACGCCGAAGAAGGCATAGCAGGGGTCAGAGGTCCAGCGGGCGCGCATCCACTGCGGAGAGGGCCAGGCTGGGCCGGCGCCCCGCTCCCCCCTGCGGGGCCCCTGCCTGGAGGTCCGGGGAGGCGGGGGCGCAAACCCTCGGGGTCTACCCTAAAGGTGCCGCAGGGTCCAGGCTGACCCAGGGCCCCAGGACCGGACCCGCTGCCCAGCCGAAGGCCATCAGGGAAGGCCAGGCTCAGAGGGACGAGGACCCGGGGGTACGGCCAGGTCAGGCCACCCGGCAAACAGCGGGAGGTGCACCCGCACCCCTCACCCCCGCCCACGTGAGCAAGCAGGAGTCCCCGAGGCTTGCCGGGGAGCAGCCGGGGGCCGCGCTGGGCCAGGGCGGCACTCACCGCGGCACCACTCGGTCGCTGGGGAGGAGCCGCGGGCCGCAGCCCCGCCGCCAGCGAGGAGCCAGCTTTTCCGCCCGATGGACGGGCCTCGGGCAGCCAGGGCTGGGCCCTGGAGGTGGGGCCCAGGGGCCCTCCCAGCGGGCTGGCGGGACGGGGCGAGAGCCGGCGGGCTCTGGTCTGAATGAGCCGGACTCGGCGCTGACCACGTAGACTCACGAGCTCGCCCGCCCTACGCTCGAGCTGAACCCGGACCCGGGCTCGTCCTGGGAAACGGGTGTGGGGGTGTCGGGCAGAGAGGCCAGCTCCCGCGCTTGTCCCCTCCAGCAGTGCCGGGCGGCCGGGCCAGTGTGGGCGCAGCCCGCTCCCGCCACCGGCCCCGGCGGCCCCACTCACCTCCACCTTCCCTGAGCAGTCAGGGAACTTGGGGTCGCTGGGCGCCTCGCACTGGTCCCGCCGACCTTCAGACGCTGCGGGGACAGAGGGCGGCGCTGGGGCCGGCAGCGGGGGCAGCGTGCCGGGCACAGGGGGCCCCAGGCCTGAGCTGCTCCCCTCTGCCACCCCCACCCTCCTTGGGGGCTCAGTGCGGGGCGTGTTGCCGTGGGCCAGCTGCCTGAGAAGGGGTTTTGGCACCCACCCACCCCAACATTCTCTGAGGGCGCAGAGATGGGGCCCGGGGGGCGGAGGGGCCTGGGAGCCGGGGCCCCGCTCTGTCCCCGGCACCCGCACCCCAGCGGGGGCTGGGGTAGCCGAGGCCCCACGGGAGCCCCGGGGCCTGAGCAGCGGGGGAGGGGGGGCGCACCCTTGCTGAGCAGCAGGCTGTGGCGCAGGATCTGGTCCACCTTCGCGGCGATGTCCGACACGTTCTGGGCGATGGCCTGGATCCGCTCCATGAGGCCGGCCCCGGCGGGCGTCCTGCGCGGGAGAGGGGTGAGCCGGGCCGCCGGGCACAGGGAGCCTGGTCGCCCAGGAGCCCCTGAAAACTCACAGGTGGGCAATAGGCTGCTGGCCCGTGCCCATGCAGA